AAAACAGAAAATAAAATAAATAATATATATTAATTAAAATTTTCTTTAAATAATAATAAAATAAAAAGTAATAATCAAAAAAAAAAAACACAAAAAATCATAAAAAATAATAATTAAAAGCTAGTTAAGAATGACATTAGCAAATGATAGGGATGCTATTAGCCACCCTTTTTTTTTTTATGTACTACAGTGGGCATAAAGCAACATAACCTATGTAATAATACTACACACGCAGCTACTTGAATATAAATAAAAAAATTATAATAGAATTTATAATTAAAAGAAAATAGAAGTAGAAGTAGAAGTAGAAGTAGAAGGAATACTCTGGAATGGATGTTGGGTTTAAAACAAATCACCGTCTCTTTTCTTCCATATTTCAACACCGACTCTTGAGAGAGAGAGAGAGAGAGAGAGAGAGAGAGAGAGAGAGAGAAGAACAGCAGAAGGAGACTTCCATCTTTCTGGGTTTGAAGAACCGCACCACCGTCCGGAGACGATCGAAACGGATTCGGTTTCTTGGTTCACCAACTTCAATCGCAATATCTGAAGAAATCGATGATCGTGAACGAATCCCTGACTTCTCACCAGAAGAAGAATGTGTGTTTTTTTTATCTGTTCTGAATCTTGTTTTCGTATTCCTTTATGGGTTTTTGATTCTGTTCATCTGGTTCTTGATTACTTTCAAGCTTTCTTGAATTTGTTTGCGTGGGTTTTGTTGAATTAACAATTGATATTGTTCATTCTTGTTTAAGGTCTCTGGAGGAGATCCAAACACATCCCATCCAACCGAATATTATTCAATCATCCAACGGAAAGAAACTATTATTGGATCTCCCAATACTAATTCTGTAAGTATTCTGATCTCTCTCTCTCTCTCTCTATATATATATATATATGTATATATAATGCATGTGGTTGATCATCATCGTCTTTAATAATCTTGTTCTAGTTTTGGGCTTCTTTTCTGAATCTTGATCATTCATCATCAACATCTTCTTTTTCTTTATCTGAATCTGAATCTTGTTATTTTCTTTAAATCTTTTTTTCATCATCAAATCTATGCTTTGGTGGAAGGGGGTTTAATTTTGTTTCTTAATACATTTTTTTTTATGCAATCAAGTATTCTGACATTATTTTAACAAGTTTCTAATTTTATTTTGTTGATTATAAATTACTTTTCAAATACAAATTTAAACTGTAATTTTTAATTTAAAAATATAAAACAAAATTTTAATTAATATATATTAAATATTGATGTG